GATTGAGAGAGAATTTCTGAATTCTTTTCTCATAAAATTTCAAAAGTGATTACAAGAGTAGAAATTACAAATATATAGAGATAGGTAGCTTAAGGAGCAAGCTAACCTTAACGATGGTTCACTAGGAACCATGGTAAGGTTAGTTGACCTTCTAGGTGAGTTTAGAAACTTTTGGAGCAAGCTTCTCATTTAGCTTGCTTGAAAAGCAAGCTAAGGAGAAGCTTGTAGCACAAGCTTCTCAACTCCTTGAGAATTAGAGAAGCAATTCGGCCAAAGAGGAAGCTAGGCAAGGTAGGCAGCTAACTCAAGTTTTGCTCACTTTGATTATTTCAAAAATGTTTGATTTGGTTTAGTTAGGTTCATCCAATGATGATGAAACCTAGCTAAATCAAATCTATGAAAAATTAGGAGCAAAATGAGTCCAATATGTAGAATTTTGCCTAGGCCCAATTCTGGCCTAATTACTAGTCACACTCTCAAGCATTGCTAAATGTCACCCCTCTTTTCTTACTGAAAAAATAGAAAATGAGTGTATCAACAAAGGAGGTTAAATGGAGTCAAACTCTCCAAGTAACCCACCCTAGAATCAATATACAATGACTAATAAAAGAAACTAAAGTGCCTCACAAATACAAAGGAAAAAATAAGCCTATACAAGAGAACTATGTACAAGATATTTACAACTAGAACTATGCCTTCTCTTCATGATAGAGTGGTCCAAATTGAAGAGTACCTTGGTCTTGGAAAGCCCACTGGTCTTCAAGGTGTCCATTGGTCTTCAAGGTGACCATAGCTCTAGTGATTGGGCCCCTGGCCCATGGTCCATCATCCTATTCCTCTTGGTTCCTTCAATGTATCACCTCTTGGATTCCTTGGCCTTGGCCATCGTCTATCAGTGAGTCATGGTCATAACATATTTTTATCATGATTCATCTCAAAGAGGCACTAAGATTTTCATGGGCATGATTAGTGATTCATGATCATGACACACTTTGTTGGTCCTTTATCTTTTCATTTCTTTATCTCTTCATATTATCTTTCTTTCCTTCTTTATCTCTTGATCTTTTATGTCCTTCTTTGCCTTATCCTTTTGCATTAGCTTTTCCTAGAGATTATATTTTTACTTGAAATGCATGCAAATAACAAAACAAAAGAGAAACGTAACAAAATCAAATGAAAAACTAAATTTAAACCAAATCCTAGGGTAAAACATTCTATATGATACATCAACGTACTTCTAATCAGTTAAATACTTAATGTAAAAAACACGATAAATGCAAGATATCAAATAAACCTAACTTAATCTTTTTCTTGTCCTCAAGCAATAACTGCTATTTTTAATGGAATTGAGCTTATTCAATAGGAAACATTAGTAGTAATATATAGGGAGTCTAGTTATCCCATTAAATTCTCTCTAGTCTTAGTTAAGTCTAATTAAGGTCTTAAGTTTCAAAAATTATTATTCATACTAATTTCCTTAAAAAACAAGGTTTCAACTCTCACTTTATCAGTCAGGATGTCCTTTCAAAATGATGGTAAGGAACCATTTTTCTATTTTTATTAATCTAAATAAGCATGAACAATGAAAATTATTAGACTCAACTTAATACTTATGTAGCAAAAATGATACAAAATTTATTATTAATTTCGATCAACTAAAACATTTCCCCAATAGCCAATCAGTTTGAAAGTATTTTTTCTTAAACCTATGACTTCAAAGGGGTGCTCGACTATAATAACCAAATATTTCTTCAGTAACCAATTATTATGAAGGTCTATTTTTCTTAATCCTATAACCTCAAAGGGGGTGCTTGGCTAATAGCCAAACATTTCCATAGTAGCAAATCAATTTGTGGGAATTTTATATTTTTCCTCTAGTTTCTATGGTATTTTTGTTAGAAAATACGACTTATCCAAGAGGAGGGGTGAATTGGATATTAAAAAATTTATTTATGAATCTTCTTGGTTTAAAATTTTTTCTAAGACTTTCTAATGAAGTATATTGATATATAGTTGTTTATAGGATATGATGTTGAGATATCCTATACATTCAATATCAAATTCCAATAGTCTTATATGTAATGTTCATGACTCTTATCATACAAAATTAAACATATAATTAGATTTGCAAGAATGTGAAAACAAGTGTAGGGATAGAGAAAAATGCACAATAAAATTATACTAGTTCAACTATATCCACTTGTGACCTACATCCAATCCCTAATCAACTCAGTTGAGATTTTTACTAATTATTTAATTTCAAAAGTTTTACAATTACAATACCACATGCAATTTACTTCTACACAATTAAAGAAATCACTTATTGCACCCCAAGAAATTTTCTCTTATAGCATCCCACTACAAGATTCTCTGATAAGAAACCTACTTAAGAAAATTAGTTACAGAGAGATTTTGGAAAAAATTCACCTGATGTACAAAACAATTCAAAGAAGTGAATCAAATAGTGTAGCTTAGCCAATATCTCCATGAAGATGATGATGATCGATTCAATTCTTGAATTCTTGCTTGAGGTTCCCTCAAAGGATATCAAACCTTTTCTTGCAAAGAGAAACATTTTTTGGGGAGTATTTTTAAAAGCAATATCACAAAGATTCAAGTTCTTTAAGTTCTAAATGTGAAAAATGCTATATAGAGTTTTTTGATAGAAATAATTGAGTATTTCCATATATAATTGATTATTTTGTTCTTCGTAGTAATCCACCAAGATTAGTTTATTCGATTATTTCTTAAGATAATTAATTATTCCAAATAGTTACTTTTGAAATAATCGATTATTTCACTAGATAATCGATTATTATAACAATGCTTCTCATATTTTGAAAAATAAAACAAATAGTCGATTATCTTAAGTGATAATCGATTATTTTGATAGAAAACTCAATACCTCAAATTTTCCAATTAGATATATTTTAAAATCATTTTTAAAACTTTTTTTCATCATCTAACATCATCTATATGAAGATTTAAAGCTCAGTTACCTAAAAAGCACAAGGCACGCATGCAACAAAACTTAAGCACATAACAAGATACAATTTGCACTCTTATCATTTAAGAGACTTAGATGTGTAATCATCAAAACTAACTACACCATGTCTTCATCTTGAGCTTAATCAACAATTTTATGTTTTTCCCTTAAACCTATGACCTCAAAGGGGGTCTTGGTTAATTTTTTTTATAAATATTGTTTAAAATAAAACTTGAACCCGCCATAAGCTTCTAACCTTGATCTTTAAATAAAAATTAATCATATTCATCTATCTTCCAAATTTTCAACTTTTTTTGATGGTCTTGAGATTGGTATCCTAAGTTGTCAACTAGTCTAAGATTTATCAAGACTTTATTTCAAATTGGGATTATTGAATTAGGTTTATTATGAATGCAAGAGAAGCACAAGGAACAAAAGAAATGCATGAATAAACATGTAGAGGCATGACCCTTACAATCACAAACTAAGACACTTAATTGTCCTCAAGTAATGAATATCTACGAAGAAGGGAGAGAAAAAGAGATCTTCGTGAGATGAAGGTGGATGTTTAAAGTTGGTAGATGATAAGTGTCAATTTGACCTAAATGATTTAACTCTTTTAACATTTATTTAACTAGTTTTAAAAGAAATTTGTGTTTTACCCGTCCTAAACTATTACAAAATTCAAAAGAGTTGTATAAATTAGTTAGTTTATAACTCAAAAACAATATTATTTGATTATTTCAATAGTTAATTTATATTTTCAAGAAATAAGAATACAAAAATAATACACACTTTATTATTAATTAGTGAGGTCGAAATACTTCGTATTTTATATTTTATTTAATAAAAATATTTAAAATTTATTCATATTTATTATATCAATTAGTGCTACGTTTAATCTTTAGTCATAAGATTTCAGTTTAAATCTTAAACTTGTATTGGTAATTAATTTTTAATATTATTTTTAATTTATAAATAAAATTATCTAAAAAATGAAAAGTATACCAAATCATGTTATTTCATGTATTAAATCATTCACAGTTCATTTAAGCCGTTGGAGTTGGTGAACTGAACAGTGAAGGCGTTGATATACTTGTCTTTGATGCCAAGTGAATAATTTGAACCAGAACGAATGTGTAAACTTACAAATGCCGTAAAACATATTTAAAGTTTCTAATTACCAGTGAAAAAGGTTGCATTGAATTGATCTCTACGGTTGATGTTTTTATTATCAAATCCGAGGGTATATAGAAGTACTATGGATCACCCTAAACCACATTAGTAAGTAGATCACCGTAGCTTGGGTCTATAAAGTTAAAATATGCTTCACAAGTTAGCAGTTGTAAGGCAAATCAAACATTCAATTCATTAGTAATTTTTTTCATACATTAAACTATTTTTAAATTAAAATTAATTTTAAAATATAATTTTATAAGATCAAATTATTCTTATTGTTATATAATAATGTCATGTGTTAGTACAGAAATTAGAGTATAATTCACTAATTTTACTGCTAAGAGAAAGAACCTTTCTATTTTTTTTAAAATATGAAACACAAAATAAAAGAGAGAGGGAAGAAGTTAAATAACAAAAATAAAAATAAAAATAGGAGTCTGCTGTCGAAGAGTAAAACATCAGTTAGACAAAGAGGGTGGATTAAGTTATTACAAGCAATTGAAAAGTAGTGATGTTTAAAGAAAAATAATAATAAAGGCCAAAAAGAAGTTTAACCTCCTTATTATATATTGTTAAATAAAATAATTAAAACAATAAAACTTTTAAAAAAAATTTCAAATCAAACTACATTATTTTACGTCTTTTAATTTCATGACAATACTTCAAAATTTAAAATTCATATCAAATTATAATGATTATGTAATAATATTTAAAATAAATAAATAACATATCATCGATCGAAATCAAATCAAATAAAAAGGAAAAGGGTCGGGTAAGTAATAATATTAAAATCCCATAAATACTATTCAATTTTGTTTAGTACATACCACTACTATTCAAGTTTAACATATATGCTTGATATACAAGCAGACTTATTCTGATAATACTATAACAATTAAGCAAACAAAAAATAATATAACAATCATAATTTCCTAATTATAATACCCTCACACTACTGAGAGACCATTTTCTATCCTCCAAGTTGGTGTCTCGCGGCAAAGATCTCAGCACCATCTTCCATGTTAACCTGAAGTCAAGTTACACTGATATGAAAAAAAATTGAACTATTTGTATTTGTTGCATGAAAATTTAAAAAGAAGAAGAACTGTATGTACCTAATTATGAGATCTAAATAGTAAATATTACATCCATTTGGGACACTACAAAAATATTATATAAAATGACACATATTTTATAGAGATAAAATATTTGTTATTAAAAATTAATTTTATTTATATTATAAATATAATATATGTTAGTATATTATTAAAAAATTGTATATATAAACTTTAATGACATATAATATACATTATTAAATCTTATTTAAAATTAATATTAAAATTATATGTAAAATTATTATATATCAAATAAATTTATACCACTGTACATATATTATAAATACTTTTTTTGTATAACATTATATTTAACATTTATTTTAGTAGAATAATAATAATTTCTAAGATATTTACTCAAAAATATTCTGTTTCTATGAGATATGTTGTAGATATTGAAAAGAAGCACCAAAAATTATATGGACTCCGAAATTAAGAAACTAACCATTTTTGGGGTTTGAGTTCCTTTAACCTGGGCACCGTCATATATGAATTTCAAGCCATCATAATCCAATTTCTGTCGCTGACAGAATTCTCTGAATACCCTACTTAACTGCAAATCCTGATGAACCTTGAAGTACAATCTATGCCCATCCTAAGCTCCAATAAAATTAAATGGTATTAAACAAGAAAAAAAAAAAAAAAAGATGAGAAGAAAATTATGTTCATATAAATATTTTACGTACAAAAAACTATACATGATCAAACACGTAATTTTACTATGAGAAAAAAAAATGCTAACAAGTAAGCTTAGAAAATAAGAAAAAAGAAAATACAAGGATTTCTATTGGAATGATTTTCAGTATTGTAAGTTGTAACTTCTAATAAATAAAAAAAAAAAGGAAAAAATAACACTTAATTAATAGTTGTCCTGCTTAGCAGGTTTTTTTTTTTTTTTTTTCTCGATTGATTCTTCAAATGTTTAATAAATACGTCCTTTGAACTTTTTTATCTCGAAACTACAAAAAAAAATACAATTAAACCTTTAACTTTATACCATTTTTTTTATATATAATTTTGTCTCTAAAATTAGTTTATGGCGATTTTATTGACTTTAGATACCCAATTAAAAAACTGTAAAAGATGAAATATTTGATTATAATTTTTTTAGTTCGAGAACTAATTAAAAATTCTTAAAAAATTCAAAAATTTATTAATATATTAAACTTTCCTTCATAAGATAATGAGAAGAAGAAAAAAGTAATTATAAAATGAAAGATAATTACCCACGGGCCATTCATTCGTGCACATTAATTTTCATCTAACTTTTATATATGTAATGAGACATAAGATTAGTATATCGTTCATACATATTAAGTGTTAAATTAATACTGAATTTTTACCAAACTTTTTTCATACATTAGCAAATGACATTTTCTTAATTTCTGCTTCATAACCTTACTCACCTTTCCCAATTTTAACTTGTACAATATCTTAATATTAAAATCAAGTTAGAATTTTTATTAGTTTAAAAACCTCTGCTCGATCACTATATATTAAAAAATATATATAAAGTTAAACGTGACTCAGATTAAACCTTTTGTCAAGAAAAATTACATTACATGAATCATACTATGCATAGATTAGATTAAGTTCACATGTTAGGACTTTGAACCTTATTAGAAGCAAAGGTTTTTTTCCTATGAAATGATTAAGAGGAAAAAACAAAAACAAAAACAAAAAATTGAAGATAAAAAATATTTTGAAAAGTGTTATGCATTCACCTGAAAGACAATTGATAAATTGACATAGATAATATCAGACTTATCTTCCTTTGTTTTCTTCGCACCGCTACCGCTAGCCATGTTCTTGTGCACACACAAATGAGATATGCAATATTCCACAAACCTAAATGCAAAAGAAAACACTTCATCAACCACAAGTTCTTTCAATCTTTCTCAACATTGAAGAAGAAAATAGAGGAACCCCAATTTTAATTTTATTAGAACTATATATGTATAGAGACCTAAATAGCACTGTGAGTAAACCATAGTTCTTAGTCATTAAACAAGAGACTTCTCATTTGACACTTGATAGTGACTTCCAATTTTACATTTCAAAAATTTGAATGCTTGAATATCATGCAAGCCAATATATAAAAGTAAAATATCAAACAAAAAGAAAAGCCTTGTGATAGCTATGAACAAATACACCAAGACGTCACCAAAAACTGATTATTCAATAGAAAACAAGTTTTCTCAAGCTGAAAAAGTGAAACGCAAATAGGGTGAAAGGAAAAGAAGTTCACCTCGAAAGAGAGAAAGTTGTGAGAAAAAGGAAGAGTTTAATGTTGTAGGCAAATTCTTGAGGTATAGTTTTTTTCTCTACCTCTGGGAGGAATATATATAAGCAACAATTTTAACATGAATTGGAACAAAATATGATATATTATTCAGCAAAGGCTACTATTTTTCGAAGCTACTACATTCAAACTCTGTTGTTGTTAAGTTCCCACAAATAGGTGCTTCAGATTCTCTCCACTCTGAAAGGTACATGTTCAAATTGATTTTTCATATTCACTGCTGCTCTTATTTTTCCTATATTGCTGCAGAGGGATAATTGATTCTCTTTGTCACAGAATTTCAATGTTTGTTGCCTTGTATTACTATATCTTATGCGAATAATGATTATTGCGTACAAAAATTGTCCTTCCTTAAGAGTTTATCATGTATGTAAATATAGTTAAATTTATTTTTTTAAAAAAATAGATATTACACGTTGATAATTGATTTAATTATATTTATTTATTTTTAGCCATTTGTGAAATAAAATTAACTGGACTTGTATATATAATTAAACACGTATGATTACTATAACATTATTAACCTTAGCCACTTTGTAATTATAATGTTTAGTCATTTATTATTTTACTTAGGCGTATCATGATTCAGAATCGACCTTGATCACGAGCCTACTAAATAAATGTTGTGGCTGGAATTGATTTGTTATATGTGAGGATATCTAACGTGGATATTTGTTTTTCCTTGTCCACTTTTTTATTAGACTTATATATGTTTCTGTTTTATTCTATTTTTTTTTATTATGAATCTCTTAAAGATGAAATTGGAAAAAAAAATTATATACAAAAAGTAAATTGTCCACTCCATGATATTAACCGTCTATTTATCTATTTTATTTTTTAGTTTTATTTTAATAAAGGCATAGAGTGCTTTTTTTTTCTACTAGTTTATTATAAGCTCTCTCAATTTCTTTTAGACTTTGTTTTTTCATACGAAAGAAGAAAATTGTTGGTTAAAAGAAAATAGGTTAAT